TTCAGAAAACCAGGAAGTTCTTAGAAAAACAGCCACGCTCGGCAAGCTCATACGATACCATGATGTTTGAAATCTACCCCTATACCATTGAAATGTGTCATGATGAATAATTTTTATTTTTCTTTATAATGGCATTTCGAATAACTCTATGTGCCTGAATTTTTATTGATGTGTTTATTCGGGTTGCCGATTACTTTTTGGTAAACGAATAAAGATTTTTTAGCAAGTACGTGCTTACTTAACCTATGAATAACTTTTACATAACTGCTTATTTAATTTATGGAAACTTCTTCACCAAGTATAGCCTTCTGTAAACTGAGACGTGCAACGTGCTTGCCTCTGCCTCAGGGCATGTAAAGTAAGCTCAGTTGCTTTGCTGTAAATGTTTATTTCCCTATCATAGCGTTTATAATCGACGACATCACAGGAAGTTAAAATGTATTATTACTATTATATATGCTCTACATGTACTGCCTGCATAAGGCGGTTTTTGTAAATATTTGGAAATACATCTAAATAACACGCACTTTTTTAAGACAAGGATTCTAAGTCTCACCGGTTCAGGTATATTACCATTATGTATATTTACTATATGTGGTATATTATGCTCATTCAAAAACCCCTCTTCTTCCCCAGATATTCCTTTACTATTCAGAGAGGAGAAGAAGAGTCACGATACCATTTTCCGTTCTCCCCTTTTCCGATCAGCAGATCAAATATCGATTCCATACTGATTCATCCGTTCAAACGTTTAGGCATCAACTAACTTATACCAGACTCATGTGGAAGGATGAAACGACTGATTTCATATCGGTGGGTCCACCAATTCATCATACGAGACACATACATACCCATTCAATCGCCTCTTCGATTCTGAAAGGAAGAAGAAATCGCGGGCGCCTGCCGAAACGATCAACTCACAAACACGATTCTTTCATTTCGTTCAGTGCCAATTTGCAAACTTTTATCCCTTACGGAAATCCAAGCTTAGAACTTTTATTCCTAAACACGTCAGGCTCCCTTTATGCTACATCCTGATTATAATTTCGTAGTGATATGTTGACAAACCCGTCGATGACGATCGGATCGTATTGGGTTTCAATCGAATAACGATAAACATCGATGGTCACTGTCGATGATGTCCTCGTCATGATTCTGATCCTCATCTGCTTTGGCATCACCACAGCCAGTATTCCAAAATCACTTCTAGTACCGAATCGTTCATATCCTCCAGGGCAACCCATAAATGTCCACATCAAAATCGATGTCCAACAGACACAAATGGTGAGAAACGAGTTGATTTCTGATGAAATTCTGATCTCAGTTGAATTTTATTTTNNNCAAACTGAACCTGACTATAAATTCAAAAAATTTATTGTAACAAGAAAAAGATTTTTTTCCAAAATTGAATCAGTCGACTTTGTAGGATTTCAACACCGCCACGCTCTACGTTCATGGAACAACTAGTATGGTGAGTCTATTAGAAATATTTTTTAATAACTCAATTCAATTTTTTTTGGGCTGTCTATGAGAAATCGGAGCCTAACATTTTCACCTCAATATTTAGCCTAATATTTATTCCGGATGAGTTGAGGTACGGTAGTTACTGCTTTCTGCATAACTCATTTTCTGGTGCCGGTATATGAATATACTGTAGTATAGTTGGGCATTCTGTGATATAGCCTATTTCTTCAAACTTCAATAAATGTATTACAGAGTTGGGCAGACACTCGGAAATCATGGCTACCAAGTGAGGATGGTCAAAAAACCCTCACCATCGATGCAGCCTTAACACCTGGCAATTTTCGCCAAGTTCATGCAGGTCTATGGGTTCCAAGCATCAAGAACCGCTTCAAACTTCTCGCCTTTAAGTGGGTAGATTTTTAAACAATTCCTTAACTTGAAAGATTTCACCTCATTCTGCAATAGATCAAATCACCCAATCGATCTTCCGGGCCGCGCAATTGCAGCATCCTTCCTTGTAATGCTTTTGACGGAACTATAAACCCACCAAACGGGCTAGTGAAGCTTCTGGAAATGGGCGATAGTGAGCAGTAGAATAGGCGATTGATTAGATCGAGCAGATCATTTGGAGACTGATACTCCTCAACTATTTCGAATCCATGTTCCGGTTCCCGATTACTTCATTCTGACTAACAGTGCCGGTGGGTGGCCTCATACTGTAAAATTCCACGGTTTGACTGACCATATGCCTGGATTCTGGCTGTATAAATTTGTTAGAGTCTTTCTTTAAATCGACATACATTCAAATTTTCTTCACATTTTTTTTCAAATATCGCATTGCAGGGGAGCTTCAAACTTGTACTCGGATCAACTCGCCTTCACTTCTGCCGGTGAAGTTACCAATCGTTTTCGTTTTATGTTAATGGTATCATGCGTTATTGATGATATCAACTATCCATACGATTCATATGTTTGCTATGAGAAATTCCGAGACTACGAAAAGAACACAACTGTAAGATACACATGTGAGTCTCAGTGAATTGTCTATGCCAATTTTCTATGCTATATTATGTTTCACTGCCTTTTTTCTACTATTTTTATTATCTTCGCTAAGCTTAAGCGAAATAACACTAGCACAGTAAAATTACTGTTTCATTAGCAGTACTACTCTTCAAATGCTGTAGTGGCGCATCAAATGGTGCCATTGCCACTAACGACAGTCAGCTCCAGACCTCAATGGGATTCCTCTCTGATCATCACCTTTTCTAGAGGCCCTCAATTTTGATCAGGGCGCACCTGAAAGGTAAATTTCGTTTCAGGCGGGTCTCGCAGTCTAGTACATGGCGCATGTACATCAAAAGGTCACCACGATATCGAATAGCAGTCGCATGCGCGGCGTATCAGATAGTATCGATTCATTCCATAATTTTAGATTTTAGATAGCCTTCTCATCTTGCAGCTTAAAAACCACCTATGCTACTTTTAATGGGTTTTCTCTTTGTCAAAGAGACTCGAAAAAATTGCCACTACCACTTTGCTTTAGGACTTCTGAAGTTACCATTTCGCAGACCAGGTTCGGTGCCGTTCACCGACATAAATTTCGTCCAACACAGCAAGCTTTTAGCAGAATGGGTGTAACAAACTCATACTAACAGTTGAAAGACCTGGCGTACGCATTTTTTGTCCATACAGTGCAATCTGATCCAGAATCGTGGAAACAATTGAGACGTACTTCATTTTCAAGGCGGCCTGAGGAGCAGGGGAGAGGAAATTCAAACTCTCTGACTAATCTACCCTGATCGAAACTTAGTGAGAGTTCAGAGTTTAAAGGCTTTCTTGAACCCCGGAATATGAAGCCTTTTCAAAACCGAGTACTTTCACGGTTTGACGAGGGAATGACGACGAAAGGGTGTCTGGACGAGATTCCAGTTGCTACAGAATAATGTCAGTTAGCCGTTCACAAGCGTGTACCAGCTGACTGCGCTTACAACTATTGTACTTCATTTTGAATGATATCAGTTTCTACAGGCCACTAGACATGTCTTTTCTTGAGAGAACTGAACGGCAGTGGTCATCGAGCCCGATTCCTGAGCCCTTGCTGAGCCTTTTACAGCCCGCTTCTCGACCAGATCACGTTCTATGCGGCCGGTAGCAATAGACTTTCAACACTAAGGAATATCGAAACCATTTTTATCACGGGCTGCTCCTTCAAGCTGATCTGATGAGTATTTCATCGACGGCTTGATTTCCGATGATGCCACCTGACTTACCCTTAACCTAAGAGAGAAGAGCTCGACTTTGAGTACCTGTCCAAGCCATGTGTTCAAATCTCAACAAGAAAAGTTTTTTGGAAGCATTACTGGTTCCTTCGATATTGCGGCCTCGAGAAGGCCCCCCCCTACTGAATGGCTCAGCCAAGGATAGACTCTCGTTCAGCTCTGTTGGGAGCTAATCCACTGGATCACACAGGCTTTATATAGCGCCTGTTAAGTTTACTTTACAGAAGTGTAGCAGTTTTACAAAGTTTTTTTGCAAAAAAGTTTAGGAATCAAACTCTACACTGTTTTCTGCTTCAACAAGAAAATATGACTGATTTCAGACTATAAAAATTCAAAGGAATTCATGACAGTCTCCGACACTGCATATCGATCGGGTCATAAAATTACAAATTATACATCATATAAGAATGTATCAGACATTGGAAAATACTTCAGGTTTGCAGCATTTTAATAGCTACTTTCGCAAGTTATTACTGATTACTTCGTCGACTGGCCCTGACTGATTAAATCCGCTCGTTTAAGCGATTCGAAGGATTTCTACCTGGAGACCATTGATATCGGCTTCACCGTGCAACGTAATCAACCAAGAGTGGTCATAAATCTTATTATACCAATATACTGTGAGTTTTTGACTTTTACGACTATACCAGTACATAATCACTTTTTTGTGTTCATAAATGAGTTGGTAGTTAACCACAGTAAAAAAAAA